AGATTTTCATTTAATAAACAAAAACAAGAATTTTTAGATAAAATTGAACATTTACAAAATTCTACAAAAAACGGAACATGTTGAGTCTGAGTATTTTTCGTGTGAAAAATCTTTGAGTGAAGCGACTGACTCAGAAGAAATAAATACGCTTAATGAAGAAATTAATTTTTCTAATATCTTAAATTCAGATGTTTGCTTAGATGATGAAATTGATAAGTTTGATTTTTCAAATAATTTACCCAGTCATGAAAATTTCATTGTTAAAAACAATATGACTAAGGATTCTGATTTAGCTTCAGATTTTAAAAAGAATATTAACCAAAAACCTGTTTCCGAGGATGATTATTATAAAAAGAATAAAATCAAAAAGAATTCAAGGAAACAGAATAAGCGTACTAAGAAAAAGAAAGTTTGACATTCAAGTAAACCTGATAATTTTCTTTTTCCTTTTTTCAGATAATGCGTTGAAGTTTAAGACTTATTGGAGAGTAAAAGAAGAAGACAAATCATCTACTCAACTGAAGAAGAATAAGTTTACTAAATCTATATTAAATGATTCGACATTGAATAGTTCTGTAATAAGATATTTAGTAGATGAATTATTTGATATTGAAAATAGTAAAAATAGTTGTTCTCCGTGTAGAGTAAATGAATTACTTAGATCTTTTACTTCTTTTAGACCAAATCATTTCATGCATTCTGTGATATCTTCTGTATCTAAAAATTTGATGTTTAAAGAACGTTGGTTCGGTACGTATAGTATATCGCCAATGAAATATGTGCTTAAAGGTCCAAAACTAAAATGGGTATCAAAACCCAATTGATTCATTTTTGCAGGTTAACCGGCATGTGTGGTTCTTAGACTCCGGATGTTCTAAGCACATGACTGGTAGAAAAGAGTTATTATCAAACTTTGTTGAATCTTTTGGAGGTACGGTAAGATTTGGAAAAAACCAATACGCGCCTATCCTTGGATATGGTTGACGTAATTTCTGGGAATTTAACTATTAAGAAAGTGTCGTTTGTCGAAGGACTTGGACATCATTTGTTTAGCACAGGTCAATTTTGTGATAAAAATCTAGAAGTCTGTTTTAAAGCTAACCAATGTAGCATCCGAACTATTGATGGTAAGGAGCTCTTAGCTGGATTCAGAAGATCTAATCTCTACACGATTGATCTATCACATACGCAAGTGGATACTGATGTCTGCTAGATATCCAAGGCCTCTTTGAAGAAAAATCTGTTATGGCATCGACGTCTTTCACACCTGAATTTCAAGAATCTAAACAAGTTGGTTTGTGACAACTTGGTCAAAGGAATCCCAGAACTGATGTTTCATAAAGATCATGTATGCGGTGCTTGTGAGATGAGTAAACTGAAGAAAGATTCTCATAAGCTAAAGACAGAGTTCAATACCGAACGTCCTCTACATCTTCTTCATATGGATCTTTGTGGTCCTATGAGAATTCCAAGCATCAATGGTAAAAAGTATGTGCTGGTCATAGTCGATGACTATTCCAGATATATCTGGGTTCATTTTCTGMGGTCTAAGGATGAAGCAGCCGAGACAATTATTTCTTTCTTGAAGACAGTTCAAAATAATCTGCAACTTCAAGTTCAGAAAATAAAACAGACAATCGAACTGAATTCAAGAAGAACACACTCGGTTCATATCTCGAATCCATTGGTATTTCACATACATTTTCGGCAGCCCGGACACCAGAACAGAATGGTGTTGTTGAACGTAAGAACAGAACGTTGGTGGAAGCGGCACAGACATTGCTGACATGTTCCAGTCTTCCTTTATTTTTATGGGCTGAAGCAATATCGACTGCTAGTTTTACCCAAAACCGTTCACTTGTAAACAAAATGTTTGGTAAAACTCCGTATGAAATAATAAACAAAAGAATACCTAACATCAATTTCTTTCGAGTTTTTGGTTGCAGATGCTTCATTTTAAATGATAAAGAGGTGTTAGGACTGAGAAATCGGTATTAATTGTATTCGTCTTGAAAGTTTATAAATAGTCTATAATTGTAAAAGTCCGCGTGTTTGACTTTTCTTATAGAAGTTTGACTTTGACTTTGTTTAGTTAGTTTGACCATATAAATAGTGGTTAATCTTTGTAATTAGTAGGAGAGGAAAGCTCATTTGTAAGATTTACGTTTAAGAGAGTTGACTATACTTTGAGTGCATTGACTTTCTCTCTCATTGTTCTTAATGTTCATATGAAGTTCTTACAAGAAATATCCAGATCTGCCATTATTGATATGAAAAATGATGATTGATCAGTAAATATGGACTCCACAATTGGTATCAGAGCTGGAATGCAAGAAATCAGAGATAAAAAGAAATCAAATTAGTTTTTTTTAAATATTTTTCTAAATTTTTTTTGGTCTTCTTCGTGTTCTTGATTTTTCTTTGACTTTGATCCGATTTTTTCATAAAATCTTGTGTTTTCATGTTATAAAATGATCAAAATGCTCGAAATTGTATTGTGAATCTTTGTTATTCACAAACTTTTCTGATTTGATTAATTTTTATCAAGATTTAATCTGATTTTTGTGTTTTTAAAGTTTTCGTGTTCTTAATTTTTTTTTTAAAACCAGTGTTTTTGATCCATTTTTTAAAAAGTTTTTTTTTTTCTGTTTTTGTGTTTTTGATAAGTTTTGATTTGTTTTTAATTTCTCTTTAGTTTGTTAAATCGTTCAAATAACTAGGCCCAAATTCATTTTTAAGCCCATTTCTTTGACCATTTGATTTGCGCGGATTATTAGCGGACAAGATATTCATCTAAACCGCGTGGGTGTCTTGAGCGGATAAGAGGAACACCACACATCACTTGATCGGAGTAGAGGTAAACCTTCACCTTCATCGATTTCGTCTAAGGGGTAAACCATCTACACCGCACAAAGCTTGATCGGAGAAGAGATAAACCGGAGAAGGCTTGACCAGATTTCTTGAGCGGAAAGGTACACCGGACGATTTCAAGACTTGTGCATCGAAGTATTTTGAGCGGATTTTACATAAACCGGACACCCCTTGTCCGGTGTTCATGTAAACCGGTCACCACTTGACCGGATTAGTGCTCTGATTCATTCAGCAGGTAAGTCTTCTTGATCGGTTTAGGACTTGAAATTTTTTTTCAATCAGAGCTGTCCGGATTTCTAATCCGTTCAATTCCACTTACCCATTTTAAAAAATCATTCATTGTAATCCCAATCCAGATTATTAATCTTGTGAAGATTAATGAGATAGACTGTGTGTGATTGCTTGTTTCTGCCAGTTGGACATTTGATTTGGGTTTTATATCTTGTTCCGGTCTTGTGTAAATTCCTATCTTGTGTAAATTGTGAAGAAATTTTTTTTTGTCGTTCAATATCAGAAACAATTTGCAGGTTGTTTTGTTCAATACAGTTGGTAATTGCAAGAGACAAGTTGATTTCATTTTTAATGAAAATCCATCTCTGGTTCGATTTAGGAAGTGTGCAGGGTTGTAGTTTTGTGGTTTGTCCTCAGACGTGAAAAGATTACATTTGCTTGTTGTCTGATCTTAGAACACATATTTTGTTACTACATTTGGTGTTGTTGATATTACTTTAGTTGCTGGTTCTGAAGAAGCTGTTGCTTGCTGTTGTTATCTGTATTTGTTATCTGTGTTGCTGTATTTGTTATCCGTGTTGTGGTTTTGTCAGATTCATTTTTAACAGCAACTTTTAGCAACTGTTTAACAGCAACAACAGGTTTAAGCAGCAAGTTTAGAGCCAGTTGTTGATATAAGTTCAACAACCATTAATTTGAACGAAAGAGCAAAGCAGAGGCAATTCAAGCAGTGACAGATTTAGACAGGTTTAAATCAGGTTTAAGATTTATGCTGTTTGTTTGTTAACCAATTGAATATACAGCAGACAGATTTGAAGCGTTTTTGCCTTTGGTTTTAGATGCTTTGAAGGAGACTGTGTTTGAGTGTTTTATATGAGTGTTCATAGGTTAGTGTGTTTCACAGAAGGACTTTGTAAGACTGTATTGCTGCTTGAATTACTTGTTTGATTGAAATTGTTTGTTTTTGCTGTTCTTGACAGATTTGAACATATCGTTTGCTGCTTCATTCGATTTAACATTCTGTTTGAGCATTTAGTTTTGTTGTGCTGTGTTTGCTATTTGAGAATAAACTTTACAACAGCAGCTCAAGTGTGATTTAGTGTGCAGCAGGTGGTCTGATATTCCTGTGTGTATATTAGCAACAGCTGCAACAGATATTGCTTTGTTGGTGTAGAGACTGTCTAGTGTGCTGTTTTAAGAGCTGTTTAGAGTACATCTTGAGAAGCTGTGTTGATCCTCTCTCTCAGTGATTTGATGATAATCCCTTTTTCCTTTCGATGTATTTTCTGTTTCTATACTTTCAGTTCCAGCGATCAATACACTGAGCATGTTCAGTGATCGCTGAAGAACTCGCATTGTAATTCATTCAGAGACAACGATACTTCAAGAAAACAACACTCACACCAAAGATCCTTCAACAAACGTCGAAGACTGAAACTGAAGATTAGAGACTGG